ACCATCATCACCATCAACAGCATCACCACCATCAACATCATCACCATCACCACAGTCACCATCGCCATCACCACCATCAACATCACTGCAGTCATCACCATCATCAGGATCAACACCATCAACATCATCACCATCATCAGGGTCATCAACATCATCACCATCACCAGGGTCATCAACATCATCACCATGACCATAATCACCGTCATCACAGTCATCACCATCATCACTGTCATCATCACCACCATCAACATCATCCCCATCACCATACCATTGCCATCATTACCATCACCATCATCAGGGTCATCACCGTCATCAGTGTCAACACTGAAATCTAATTTTAAAATCAAAAGAGTTCCACTGTTTTCTATACCCACCAGGGAGGGAAGAAACGATTCCTTCCCTCTTAGCTGCAGTGCCTGGAGCTACAGAAGTAAGCCAAAAAAAAAAAAAAAAAATTTAAAGCCAGAGTCTTGCTCTGTCGCCAGGCTAGAGTGCAGTTGTGTGATCTCATTCACTGCAACCTCGGCCGCCTGGGTTCAAGCGATTCTCCTGCCTCAGCCTCCCGAGTAACTAGGGTTACATGAATGCGCCACCACCCCCAGCTAATTTTTGTAATTTTAGTAGACACAGGGCTTTGCCATGTTGGCCAGGCTGGTCTTGAACCCCTGACCTCAGGTGATCTGCCTGCCTCACCCTAGTAAGCATTTTTAAAATGGGGTTTCTATCAAGTCCCAAAATTCTGGACTGAGATCCAAAACCCTGCGGTGCCGTCTATTTAGAGACCACCTCCACACTGCGCAGGCTTTTTACACTAAATGAAGTACAAGTCTTAAGGCTTGCTCCGTCTCCCAGCCTGGTGCTTGCCTAGCACAAAAGACACGTCCTGGAAGAGGAAGCAGAGCTCCCAGGAAGGGCATGGTTCTGCTTGTTCCCGAACTCTGCCCTGTTCCCGATGCTGTGGCTAACCCTTCAGTGGCCACTCATCACTGCTTACGAACAGTTGCTCATGTGTGGCAGGATTCCTACAAGAAGGCCACTTCCCAATTTTAAAAAGCTCTGGGGAGACTGGTATCCAGTTTTGTTTATATCTAATCTTCTGACATCTTTTTAGTTCTAAAGCTATGAAAAAAATGACAAATAGCCCAAGATGCATGTCAAACATGAATAGATTAATACATACTTTAAATTTATACTGTTAATACCCAAGTATGCACTGAATTTTACTGGTCTATTGTTGAGATATGAAAGTCCTTAAACTTCAAAATGATAACTGAATAACTTTTATAATAAAAGGAATTAAAGAGGATCTAAAATCAAAATCAAAATTTGTTATTAAAGTAATGAGTTTACCAAATAATTTAAAAATAGCCAATCTGAGGGTGGATCATATGATGTGGCTTTCTAAAATTCCAGGCCTTATAATTGCTTCCTTGAAGCAAGAATGGGGTATCACTAAGGACTGAATTCAATCAGCTGAAAGACATATTAACCTCAAGAGACTACTATATGTTAACCTAAGCCATGGAGTCCTCTTCTTACACGAGATTGTAATCCAGGAGATAAGACTTCTGATTTTAATGTTTCCAAGTAATTTCTTTTAACACAGTTTGGTGAAGTAAGTCTGGTGTAATATTGCACATAGTTTTGTTCCCATTGGAGCCTTTTTTGTAAACTCAGAATTTCCCATATATTTGTTTAATGCATCAACCTGGACCTGTTACTCAGGAACTGCTACCTCTGCTGTGGTGCTGTGGTTGCTATACAGCTCTGCCATTAAGGCCAACAATCTGTACACGGGGGGCTCTGCTCGCTCCTGCAAACTCCCAGTTCATGACATACAAAGTCAGAGTTATTCAGGCAAGCTGGAATGCCAGCCGTTTGCTCAGTCACTCCCCCAGTAAGTGAGAGGTGGACGCGGACCAGCGTTTCTTCAAACCTTCCCTGGGCCATGCGCTGGGATAGGGTTTCCTTTTCAAAGACAGAGTGAAGAGAAATTCACAGGAATACTGCCCTTTACCTGCCTGCGTCACTCAGGCAGCCCAGGGAACACTCAGACCTGAAGCCAGGACCAACGTCTACAGAGTGTGTGCTCATTCCCCCAGGCCACCCCACACCTGAGGTGTGACTCCAAAGAGGATGGAGACACTGGGTCCACACCACAGGGCACTAACTTTTACTCTACTGTGCAGGTCCCATGTGAACCTGGGTGGGCCATGTACTGACACCTCCATCAATATGACTGTAAGGCAGGGACTGGTGTGGTGCCTGCAGCCAGGATGCTTAGGAAGATGAGTGGGCCAGCACACCCAAACCAAGAACCACGCTGGCATAAATGGCAGCATCTCTCGTCAGTGTTACCAGCACACAGTGGGAATCACATGCACAGCGTCACCCAGTGATGTTCTCTCATCCTTTACCTCTCTGATCTTCACTTGTAGAGGCAGGCCCCTCTAAGGAGCCAGCGGCCTCCAGAGACCAACACACCAAAACATGCCAATGTGGGAGGCCTGGCACCACACGGATGCCACATTCTCCGGCCCAAGGTCCTCCTTTGGTCCCTGTATATCAGTACCAGGACTCCCAGAACACAGCTCTGTCTCTCCACCTCCTGTAGCTACAGCCTGGCCGTCCTCTCCTGGCGTGCACCTCTGTGCAGGAGCTTCCAGACGGCACGATCTCCCACACCCCTCGCCCACACAGGCCCCTACCTGACACACCCCCACTCCATCCCAGCATCCCTCTCTGCCTGCTGTCTTCCCTGGCCGACCTGACTACTTCCGGCTCTCTGGTCCTCTCAGTCTTCATGCCTCACCAACAGGAAGAATACTATATAGTAACCTGGTCCCAATAGGTAGCATGCCCCATTACATCAACACAGTGCTGGGGTGAACCAGGCAGAGGGGTGAACCAGGCAGAGGTCACTGTCTGTCCACCACTGCCAGTCCTGGTTCTTCCCAGGTCTCAAAGCTAGGCACAAAGGTCCTGTGCCGGTTTCTAAACCGCCAGCCTTAGGGGAAAAGGACACGTGCAGTCCTGGCCTCCCTGCAGTTAGCATAACCCCCACCTGGTTTGGGGGCATCCCCAGGAGGCCCCGCACCTGGCTCCATTGTTCTGGTTGCTGCCACAGCTCTCGGCCCCCTCACCCAAGCCTGCTCCCCAAACCCCTCCCATCACTGAGCTGCTCTCCATGGTAGAAACTCTTGCGGAGCCCAGGCCTCTGCCCAGCTGCTGTCTTCCATAAAAAGTCTCCACACACCACCATGGCCAGCACCGACACGTTGTACACCATGACTGCTTAATAACTTCCATGTGCCAAAGCTGTCTCAGGGCTCAGCAGTCCTCTTGATCCCCAACCTTCAGTCCCACTGAAGTAACTGGCATTCTTCCACAAAGCCCTGACCTACACCACAGGGGCAGAGGTAAGTATGCTTCCTTAGTTAATCCACTAACTTTCACGAAGGGAGAATGGTTTCACTGTTAGGCCCATTCTGCAGTGAAGGCATGGCCAGCCTTTTCCAGCAGATTGCATGCTGTCCCTGCCCCTGTGCTGACGTTAACATAACAGCAGGCTTTCTGTCTGGTTCTTCCCACCCTCCAGTCTGCTACCAAGGGACCATGGCAACATGACAGCATTTGGATCCTAGGCCAAAATTCACGAGACTCGAAACTGCAAGGGAAGTGTCCCTCCCTCTCCTCTGTGGGTTTTGCCAAAAGCTAACCTACTAGGCTGATTTCTCATCACACGTCAGCCTCCCGTGGAGCACCTCCCGTGGAGCACCTGCTCACCTTGACGCCCGGGGGTCCTGCTGGTGCCCTCTCCTGTGTCAGGCAGCCTGCTGCTTGCCCGAAGCCCGACTCCCATGCTGTCTGGAGACGCAGAGCCGTTGGCCTGGCTACCAAGGGCGTTCATGTGTGTAGGGATGGGCTCGAAGGTAGGATCCAGCTCCAGGATCAGCCTGTTGAGCTGCTCGATGGACTGGTCGATGTCCAGGGTGGGCGAGCCTGGGGAGGGGCCTGTGCTCAGCTCTGAGCCGGCTCCATTCACAACCTGGTCGCCTGGAAACCTGGGTTTGAATGCTTTGCTGGGAGAGGGCTGCTGTGTGTCGGGGGGATGTGGCCCACTGCCCACACCCCTCTGGACAGCCACCCTGCTGCTGGTCCCTCGGGTGGGGGTGAGTGGGATTCTTGGCTGGGCCTGGACGAGGCCAGGGTTGTCTGCAGGGCCTCGGCTCACCAGTCGGGCCTCCCCGTCGGGGGCGAAGCTATACTGGTGAGCCACCACCATCTGCTGCTGGCGTACCCAGGTCTGCGTGGAGTAGCTGCTCTGCCCATAGGCCTGCATCTGGGGGGACACCGAGGGCTTCCTCAGCAGGGACTGGGGCTGCTTGGGCTCTCGACTCCCAAAAGTCCGCTCCCGCTCATAGTGGGTGTCCATGCCAAGGCCCAGGTCCGGAACAAGGGTGCCCTGTGGATCTTCACCAACGTTGCTGCCGAAACCATCAGACAGGAGTGAGTTCTGGCTGCTCTTGTGGCAGGTGAAGGGGCCCAGGTGGGCTGACTGCGGCCCTTCTGAGGAGGACAGGGTCCCAAGGCTGTCCACACTGTGCAGGTCATGGTGGGGCATCTCGTCATCCAGAATGTCCGTCTCCCGGTCCTTCAGAGCAGCGTCTCCATTCACGTGGACCTGAGCCGGTACCACATGGCGAGTCCCACTGTACTTGCTTCGAGCATCAGTCATTTCCTTCAGGGAGCTTCCAGAATCTTCCAGGCCAAAGCCACTGAGCAGCTGGTCCAACTCGGCCTTCTCCTGAGCACTCAGGCCCCTCTTGGTTCCCGGAGCCAGGCGCTCTTCCGTCTTATCAGTCCTGGCAGAGGCTGTGGAGTGGCCAGAGTCGCTGCTGACAGACAAGGTGTGGTCACTGTGGTCTGGGCTGCTGGTGGCCGGGACGGCCTGGGGACCCCCTGGGATGCCAGGATCCGAGGAGCTTTTCTTCCTCACCTTCGCGTAAAGGCTGCCATCAACAGGGCCCTGCGTGTGTAGCACTGCGGGGCAGAAAAGCAGAGAGAGGCTTTCAGTCAGGGATGAAGCCAGCCTCACACCCTCGGAATGAGCGTGTGCATTTGTCTAAGCAAATAAATGGACTCAAAAGATGACTAACGATAAACAGGGACAAAGACTCCTCTAAGATCACAAAGTTCTACACATACTCTGGAGCATGCCAATGAAAAGGAATGCAAATAAACAAACATCTTCAGCCTCTAGAATCATTTCTACCTTTCCATGCAGAACAAACTGTCATTCTGAGCTCTGGGATTCTTCACCTTCTGAATCATCTTGCCTTGAGGGCTCACTGTTAGTTTCATCATGATTATGAATGCTGAACCGGGCTCAGCTCATAAATCCCCGAGGCTGGACTGTTCGTCCTACACAAAGAGCTTCCATCTATAGACCTGTCTAACATTTGTTGAGCATCAGTCAGGGGCCGGGTAGCAAATTCCTATTAAACTGAATGTCTTGCTGGACCCCGTCTCTATTAAAATACAAAAATTAGCCAGAAATGGTGGCACACTTCCGCAGTCCCAGCTACTCGGCAGGCTGAGGCAGGAGAATCACTTGAACCTGGGAGGCAGAGGTTGCAGTGAGCAGTGCACTCCAGCCTGGGCAAAAGAGCGAGGCTCTGTCTCAAAACACACACACACACACACACACACACACACACACACAACGACAACAACAAAACTGCACGCCTGCTCAAATGTCAACATGAAATTCAACGCAAAGAGAAAGTGCAAGAATTGATTGCACTTCCCGTCTGGAGCAGCATCTTTGGGCCAAGCAGGTGCCTGGTGAATGTCTCAGGACCACAAACAGATGACGCTGACTTGCATGCACTGATTTCCATACATGGAATGTCAGGAAAATAAAACTTTGAATTAAAATGTGGGCGGAAGGACTCCATGTTTGGGTCCCCTTCCACGAACACTCCCTTCATGGAAGCTGTTTTCCTCTCTCCTGGATTTCCACTCTGGGGTCCCCTTCCACACTCTCATGGAAGCCTGTCTTCCCCATCTAAACTCCAGCTCTCTCTCTGTTCCCTTCTACTCATTGTGGAAGCTGCTTTCCTCTCCCAGAATCCATCTTTCTGGACTCTCTCACTCAGTGTGAGAGTTAGCTGTTTCTTTCTCTCTCCTTCTCCTGTTTCTCTCTCTCTAAATAAATCACTTTCTAAAAACAAACAAACAAAAAATAAACAAATAAAGTGTGGGCAGGGAGGGCTGAAACTTCAGCTGCTATTATTAATCATGGCCACGGCTCTGGCATTCGGGGACTCCCGAGCCTCAATCTGCTGACTGGCCAACCACCGCGACCACACAGGGCGGGTCCTTGCCAGGAGCCTCCTAAAGGAAGCTGGAGTGTGTAGTCAGCACATGCCTCACCCCGTGGGCCTCCCCCACCTTCTTCTACTTTCTCAACTATGAAATGGCAGGCATTCCACAGCCAGGGAGCTGCTGGTGGTGGGAAACCCACGCTTTGTGGGCACCTGGGATTTGAGACGCGAGCCACTACCTGACAGTGGCCACCAAGCCTGGCCCAGGAGCCCTCTGGAGGGACCTCCTCTAAGCATGTACCTCACAGCCCCAGGCTCCAGGCTGATGCACTGCCACGGTCAGCGGCTACTGGCTTTTTTGAAAACACTGGGACAGCGTGTTGGGACAGAGTCCCAAGAGGTACTTGGGTGTGGTGCTGAAAACGCACCCACGCCAGGCTTTCTTCTTGTTTCAACTGTGCCCAATGGAAAGCACACAGAGGAGCGGGGAGAGGGGAGTGTGCACACAGGGTATGGGCCCGCCTGCAGTGGCCCGGACTCCCATCCTAAAGTCAAGCCTAGGGGAGGGAGGGTCTGGGAGTAGAAATGCTACACAAAATGCTGAAAATAAACCAAGTCTGCAAGGCAGGGAACGTGATGGCAGGACATACGCCATGGGATTCATCCAAGGTATCGGCCTCAGGGTCTGCTGCTGTTTTCTGAGTACCTCTTATTGGCAGGGCAGGTGCGTTGTGCATTTTCTCTAATTTTCACAGCATGATCTATGTTGTTATTTCTTGTTTATCTATAAGGAACTGAAGCTTAAACAGAATAAATAACTTGCCCAAGGTCCGGCAGCTGCTAGGAGGTGCAGGTGGGCCTAGAACTGGGTGCACTGGCCCTGTGTGCTCCTGCTGGCCCACTGCCCACCAGCTCAGAGAGCACCAGGAGAGCACACCCCTGGAGGCTCTGTCAGTGGCCCTGCCCACAAGGAGGAGGCACTGAACTCACATTGCTCTGACCAGGCATCAGCAAGTGATACCTTTGAGAGAAAGATGGAAAGCATCTTTGTATCTTTCATTCCATTGAAAGATAGGACGCATTCCATTTTATAAATGAAAAACCAGGAAACTGAACAGTCTGCATGTCATGACTGGGAACACACACAGAGTAAATGGTGGAATGGGGATCCCATCTTCAAGGATAAAGGGAAACAGCCATCTCTGAAGCCTGGGTCAGGCTTCAGACCAGGCAGAGACTAAAACACCTCCGTCACCCAGCTCTGTGTAAATTAAACAAAAGAACACCTGGAAAGACTGGACTAAATTATAAGGCACGTGCAAATATGATCTCTACAATTTCAAAAATATAAACTGCAGTCCATTTGTTTATGCAATCACTAGGTGACTGTGCAGTAAAGTGGTCCCTTGAAGAAGTTATGGCAACATATGAACACCAGTTCAAATCTCAGCTCTATCCTGAGTCCACCCTTCAGGTTCCACCAGCCGGAGCATTCACCTTGACCTTCAGCTTCCCAGCTATAAAATGAGGGTGTGGTTAGATGGTATGTAAAGGTTGAGCTGAGGATTAAATGCCATAGCACACGGGTGAGTGTCTTTATAGACCCTGAGTAAACATCAATTTAATTTGGTTTCTGTTTAGATTCCCTGTTACCAGGAAAATTGAACAAATGTAAGACCTGGTAAATCCTTCCTGAGTGTTCTCAGAGTGTGAGAAGGAGGCACTGATAAACAGCTTCTGCTTCGTGAGAATGACAGAGACTACTCCCCCTCCCCACAATGGAGGGCGCTGCATGGCCATCAGTCTGGTCCCGCCCACGCTCGGCAGGCAGCCAGGACACACATGGCAGGGTCACACAGCGCAGGGCATGAGCCTGCCCATTACAGTCACAGATTTCATGCTGCTACGTCTGTATATTTCTGACTTCCTACACCCTTCTCCCTAAATCTAAGTTAAAATCAACTGGCACAATGACTTTTTAAAAAAGCCCAAGATTGAACCCGGAAGGCAGAGGTTGCAGTGAGCCGAGATCGTGCCATTGCACTCCAGCCTGGGCGACAGAGCCAGACTCCGTCTCAAAAAAAAAAAAAAAAAAAAAAAAAAGGCCAACAATGAGATGTAAAAAAAATTCCTCTAATCTAAATTAAAATGCTCTCAAAAAGTGCTTATTAATCAGTCTGAGGTAGAATCCTCCAGCCAGCTCCCTGTCCCCCTGCTAAGAACGTACCTGATTAGAAGGCCCTGAACAAATGGTAAGGCACAGGGTATTCCCTCTCCCAGGGGGTGTGAATAATCCTATTTTATTAGTAGTAGAAATCTTAAAATAATAACAGATACATTAACAACAACACCATTTCCATTACCATTGACTAAACACCCGATCTATGCCAGGCTCATTGTGAGCACTCAGAGCAGGGTCTCGTCAAATCCTGACAACCCCGGTGGCATTCAGTCTCCTTCCTATTAATACATGGGAGCACAGCCATGGGACAGAGAGGATGCAGTCCAGCCCTGTCCAGCTCCAAAGACCGGGCTGGACTCTTCCTAAACTTCCTGCTACATACATAGGTGATTTCCTTCATTAGAAAATGCCCAACAAGTGTTCAATGTACAGGAAAAGAATATGAAACATATCAAGTGAATCCCACAACAGGACTGGTCAAGCTTCTGAATCACTTTGTAGGAGCACAGATCTTTCTAAAGGTGCAGAGCTCCGGGCAGGCTCTCCCAGGAGCTTCACTGGCAACCCCCTGCACCCATACCTTCGTGGTCTTGAGCGGGGGAAGGGGAGTCTGCCTCAGCGAGAGAGAAGGAGAAGGGGCCTCTGGAATGCATGGTTCCTATCCTGTTTTCTCGTAAAAGGCTATCACTTTGCAAAAGGATGGACTTGAACCTCAGTTGGACAGAGGAGATGGCTGTTTCCCTTCATCCTTGAAGATGGGATTCCCATTCCGTCATTTACGCTATGTGTGTTCCTGGTCATGACATTCAGGTTCCAGGTCATGACATTCATAGCAAACAAGCAAACAGAAAACTACTACCAACCAAAACCAAACACACACACAGCCCACAAGGATCTGAAGGTAGAAGGTCCCCTGCAGGCCAGGTGTTCCCACTCTCTGGGCCTCCTCCTCCTCCCAGCCGGCACAGCCAGGTCCTGCCATCCGTGAGAGCCGGAAACAGGGCGGCCATGGCTGCTGACCTGGCTGGTCTCCAACTGATAATGAACACAATTGGAAAAGTACCTGAAGTCACCCAATTTAAGGCTTCAAAATGAAAAAAAAAAAAAAAAAAAAAAAAAGTGAACCTAAAGGTTAGCCCATATGCTTATGAAGCAGGAAGCATGGGCCAGAGATCCAATAGACATTTGAACATTATCTGACCACAGTGTGCTCGGAACCAGGGGTACAAAGATGAATGGGACGAAGCCCTGGCAAACAGCAGGTGCAATCCAATGGCACCGTGCTACCTGCCGCTTCCAGTCTCCTTTATTCTCTTGCCACCTGTGCAGCTGGCATTTCATGCTCAAACCCACACAGTTCCAAATGGGTACACGTCTGTCTTCTGCGCTCTGCGTCATCTATCTTCTCACCTACGGAAAGAGCTTGATCTAAACACTTGCTGCCATTGTTATGCTTTCTAAGACTCAATGCAAAAGCTGCAGGATAAGAACAATATAAAGAGAATCCTGACTAGAAATGAAACCTAACAGGG